GGTCAGACTCCTGGGCTCTGCTTTTCTCAGGCTTTGACTGGACGTGGCCTGTTCAACTTCCCTGAGCCTTAGTTTCCACATACATAAAAGGCTAATGGCAATTGCTGTGAGGCCTAGATGTGGCTAATATAGTGTCTAACCTAGGGCCAGCCCACAAGTCTTTGTTGAAGGGAGGGAGGGAAGGAGGAGGGGGGAAAGGAGGGGGGAGGGAAGGGAGTGAGAAGTAAGGGAGGGAAGGAGGAAGGGAGGACAGAGACTGACTGTCTTTAAACCATGCCATTTGAGGAGCCGCTGAAAAAAGTGGAGCTGGTGCTGGAGAAAAGCATGACTGTCAGAGATTCATGTGGGACAGATCCAGTGGGGGCAGCTTAAGGGGAGAAAGGAAAGAACTTTGTAAGGACGAGAGAATCCCCAAATGGAAAAGTGGACGGATTTGGGGGCAGTAAGCTTCCTATCTCTAGAAGGGTCCAGCTGAAGCCAAGGGAGTAAGGGAGGGACTGTAAGGGAGAGACTCCCTTGAAAGTTTCCCAGCCTTTATTCAAGGGGTCACTTTCCTGTTTGGGCCATATTTGTTTACTACTGAACCATTACTGGCTTAATCTTTACCTTAAAATCATCATACTTTGGGGCGCCTGTGTGGCTCAGTCAGTTAAGCGTCTGCCTTCGGCTCAGGTCATGATCCCAGCATCCTGGGATCGAGCCCCACATCAGGCTTCTTACTCAGCAAGGAGCCTGCTTCTCTCTCCGCCTGCCACTCCCCCTGCTTGTGCGCTCTCTCTTGCTCTCTCTCTGTCAAATAAATAAGTAAAACCTTAAAAAAAAAAAAACAACCATACTTTTCATTTACTTTTATTTTTTTTAAGTTTATTTTTTTAGTAACCTCTATATGCAACATGGGGCTTGAACTCACAACCCTAAGATCAAGAGTCACATGCTCTTCCGACTGAGCCAGCCAGGTGCCCCCACCATATTTTTTAACTTAAAATCTTTCTCTAGCCTTAATTTGAACAAAATATCCATTTTTTAAAAATGGGTTTGATGTGATGCCTGTATTTTTATAATACATATAAATAAGTGTATTAAAATGAAATGATGCTGTATGTGCCCCACCTAAAATTATCTCCCTGACCACTCTGAGAAATGTGCTCTACAGGATCTGAATCTAGACTAACTATGCTCCAAGGGCCCCTTCTGGATCTATGATTCTGTTATCTGAGGTTGCTTGAATATTGATGATGCTCTTAATCCTTATGGCCCTTTCTGGTCTCCCAAGCATGTTCTCATCTGTGTCTTTCATCTAATCCCATGACAACCCTGAGGGCAGGCAGATAAGTCACAGATGGCGCCTGGGCCCTGTAGCATGGGATGTGCCCAAGGCCCTCTAGATAGTTACAGAAGACCAGAACCAAGGCGCAGAGTCCCCACCTCTCCATCCTCTCCTCATGCTACCACCACACCGCTGCACAGCCAAATCCAAATCCATCCTTGGTGCTCTCCCAAATCTCATTAGCACCACAACCCAGATGTAAATCATGGTGTTTTATCCATCTAGGTAGCCAGATGCCAAGCTCTGGAGATGAAAATATGCCCCTCTGAGACCCACAATAACACTTCAGCAACCAGCAACGACCTACATTGTCATTTGGCCTTCTGGCCATCAGCAGGCCCCACCTAGAAAAGCTACCAAAAATACCAAAGGTCAATGAGAGGGACATTAAGAAGTTAAATACACACTGCTACTTCATGAACCCTCTAAGAGGGATGGCTGCAGAAAGCTGCCTTGGATGGTGCCAACCCGGCGCTCAGTGGTGGGGGCCCGGGGGTGGAGTCTCTGGGAGCAGGCGAGGCCAATCTCATCACGTGCAATAGAAACACCACCCAGAAGACTGCAGATGAGCACCAAAGTATGCACGGCAGGCGCCGAGGGGTGCAACACGGCTGTCACCTCACCTCACCTCAGCTCTGTTGTCTGAAGCAGGCACCAACAACTGGCCCGCTCATTTTCACTCTTAACACCTGACTCTACGATCCCAGGCCGATAGCCTAGCTGCGAGGGCAGAGCTGCAGAGCCTAGAGTGGGTCCTCAGTAACCACTAGTGACACAACGTGGCTTAGACCACGGCATCTAACCTGGAATCTAGGGCTTGTTTTCAGAGATCCGTGAATCCCCTGAATTGTATGCCCAACTCTGTACACCCAGGCAACTTTTCTCTGGGCTTCTCACTGGCATACTGAAGAGGCTGTGACCCAATAAGGTAAAACCATTGCTCTGGTCACCAGACCCTCAGCCTTCTTGGCTGCCTTTCCCATGCAAGAGCTTGCTGGAAGTGGCACTAATATCCAGTGTCTGTGTAGAGCAACCTCACAGCTTCGGCATCCTTGGAAGATCTAAACTCTGCTTAACCTACTATTCCTTGGGTTTTGTTATTTGCAGCCAAAAGCAGCCCCACTGATCCAGTGCCATAAGGCCCAGTGGTAACAACCAAGACCATGAAGGTTGGCAAGGCCTCAGAGTCCATCAACAAAATTCCTCTTGCACCCTGAATTTTCTGCGTAGTCCCTAGACAATGGATACTTGCCAGATGCCCCAGGGCACAGGGTGCTCTCCCAGCTCCTTCTTTTGTCCCAACGCCACACAAAGGTAACTGTACCTCTTACGTGCCTTGAGCCTGACAGGTACAGTACCTCTGCAACTCAATGCACACTCCTGATGCTTGAGAATATTCCAGCTTTGCACATTTAGGTCACATAAGTATGGTTTGTACAAACTATACAGAGTGCATGAGCAGGTATGTTTTCAATCACTTGCAGGGAGGAACACTCTGTGTGGGGGCATTTCATTGGTAGAACTGATTATACCAGGTGTGAGATATAAAGCAGAGGTCATGTTCCCTGAGAACTCACTTGATCCAGCGGGCTGGTCACCATGCAAATCTGACTTGATGTGAGGACGAGTCACCCCAGGAGCTAGCTCAGTTCATCCGAGTTTGGTAGTCCTCTCTGGTTCCAGGTAATCACTCAAACTCCGGAACCAACCCCAGAGATCTGTCACTTTATAAGCAGCTCAGATCAACTCAAAGTGTGAAATACCTATGGTTAGAGCTAATAATAAAAGTTATACCCGCCACAAAAATGTCTTCTGTAGGTGAAAGTATGAGTAGCGGAAAGTGCAAACTGCCTTTTGCGAGAGCAAAGCAGGCACACCCTGGAAGACTGTCTGTTGCCTCACTGGAGTTCAGCAGGGGGCTCTGATCCTCTTCTCCATAAAGAAATGTTGAGGCCAGGGGTCGGGGGTGGGGGCAGTTTCTACCAGAGCACCCGGCTTACTCAACACCACCGCCTCCGCAAGAGGCTGGCAGACCCTGCAGCCTTGAAAACCCCAGAGCATCAAAGCCCAATACCTCCTGACCTGGCAGAGAAAGTACAAACTACACCATAAACCGCAGACAGAGAAACTCACTGGCTGCTGAGAGTGAGAACAGACCCAAGGTTGAAAACCACGGCCCGAAACATTTTCAGCCCCAGTCAGCAGGGACTTGCAATTTACAGGAAATTAGGAGATTTATAAAATGTTAGGCAGCTCAAGTTTCTTCCCTGGGAAGAGAAGCAGAAGAAGCTCTAAGAACTGTCTCCATGAAGTGCTTTGTTCACTGCAAAGCCCCTGACACATGCCAGTTATTAATACCAAAAGGTCACCACCCCACACTTCAACCAACCCGTGCTTGTCAACCGAGGAAAAGCTTAGGACAGGCTGCACCTGGAGCCCTCAAGCCCGGACAGCCCAACTCTAAGGTGAGGAGCCTGAACAGCCACATGGTCTCAAGGTAAGATCTTGGGCAAGTTACTGATACTTTCTAGCCACAGCTTCCCATCTGCATGTGGGGATTGCAATAAACTTCTGGGAGTCTTGTCAAGTGACCAGCAAGAGCAAGCACACTCTGGTCAAGTGCCTGGTCTGTGTGAGCCCTGCTGGTGCCGCTATTACAGTCGGGCTTCAGGGTTTTTAAGTCAGATCTCCCTTATTACTCTTTTGAGGCTAGAATTCTGAGCCTTGTCAGTCATTCTCTCTGATCAGGTCCAGGACAGAGTGTGTGTTTTGTAGATGCAAGAACCATTTAGCTCAAGGAGGTTCGGTACCAGCAGGGGCCCGTGGGGCGGGGGGTTGGGGGGGTGGTAGGGGAATCCCAGAGCTCTGAGATCAGGGCCCGATGAAGTGGCCCTTGTCCATCTCTCCAGACTCAGCTTTCTTCAAGGCCAGCACAGACCTCAGTTCCAGCCACAGAGTGTAATTGGGTGTTCAGCGCCCACACTCCTGCCAGGCATCACCTCCTCTAGGAGGCCTTCCCTGACCTTCCACGCTGTCTGTCCCACAACCCCTTCTCTTCCCTGATCCCGTTGTTGACCACACTGCGCTGTCGCTCATTTTTTTGTCCTTACCTTCCCCGCAGAGCAGTAACGGGCACCGTGCCCCACTCAGTTACCCCAGCCAGGTCCGGTCAATGAATGAGCCGGGCCCCAGTTGTGAGCAGAGCCCCAAGCCCCGGGCGCAGTGAAGGGTTGTTTGTGCGGCAGGCTGCTTTTTATTATTGAGATAAATTTGACAACACCCGCGGCGGATCCCTGCCCACGTTAACGCCATTTTAAAACGGGAGAAACAGTCCCCCCCTCCCCGCTACCTCCCCTGCCGCTCCAGTCCTGCCGCCCACCACCCCGCTGGTCCTCGCCGAGGCAGATAAGAAACCGAAGGGCGGTTCCACGAAAGGGGCTCTTTGGGCGGTGGACAGGCCCTCCCCCCTGGGGTCTCTATTGTGGCGGATTTCTCGATCGCACAACGTTACGCCGGAGCCTGCGGTGGGGGGCAAAAGGCCACTCCCCGCCAGTCCCCGGGCGCACTCCGCGCGCAGTGAGCGCGGCAGGGCCCGGGGGCGGCCACACCTCCCGCCCGGAACAAAGCGCCGGGCGGGACCCTGCTCCCCTCCCCAGCGGCTGCGACCACTCACCCCGCGCTCCAGCCCCGGGTCGGCTCCGGCCCTCAGGCCGCCTCCTTCATGCTCGCGCTGCCGAGGAGGCAGCGCCGCGCCCGGCCGGCCCCACTGCAGCCGGACTGGCGGCTCCCGGCCCGCCGGCCCTCTGGCCGCTCCCGCCCGTCCCCGCCCCGGCGCCTCCTTAAAGCGACCGCGCAGCCCGCGCGCGCCCCGAGCGCCTCGCGCGCCGCGCATTCCTTATATTGCAACAGCGCCTGCTAAAAATAGAGCGCCGCAGCGGGCGCCGGCGGTGGGGGGGGGAGGGGGCGGCGCCGCGACCCCGCCGCCCCCGCGCGCACCCGGGCCCCCGGGACGCGCGGCCCGGTCAGTCCTGGCCACCCGCGCCGATTCCCCCCCAGCCGAGACCACCCCACCTCCCCCGCCGGCTCCGAGCAGGGCCCCAGCCGCCTACCCCGCGACCCCGCGCACTTACCCGGTCAGAACCTAGCTCCGCGGCGCTGGCTTTAAAGTGGACGCGGAATGGGAAATCGCTCGGGCCTCTTTAAGAGCCTCTGTGCCCCAACCTTGGAGTCTCCGCTCTGGCCCGACCAACTTCTGAGCCTACCGACGCCTCCCCAGTCCTCCCCAGTCCTTAGCGACCCTGGCCGTCACCTCAGCCGGGTTCGTTTCGAATCCCGGGACGTGTTTCTTCCTAGATCCTGACCCAGCGTGTCTTCCCCCAAGGCCTTCTTGGTGCACCATTCCTGGGCCCCAAGTTCGTTCAGATGGATACGACGGGCACAGGCGACACTCGTGCTCCATGTCATTGTTTCAGTTCTAACTCCTCTCCATCGATGACATTTTTTTCCTTATTTTAAGAAAATGGAAATATAATTCACATACCATAAAACAAGCCTTTAAAAGTGTACAATTACGTGGTTTTTAGTATATCAGCAAAGTTGCTGGACCATCACGATTTTTAATTCCAGAACATTTTCATGCCGCCCCCCTCCAAAATACCTTACCCATTTGCAGTCACTCCCCATTCCCCATCCCCCCAGTCGGTGGAAACCACTCATCTACTTTCTGTCTCCATGGATTTGCCTACTCAGGACATTTCATATAGATGGAATCCTACCACATGTGGTGTTTTGTGACCAGCTTCTTTCACTTAGCATTAAGTTTTCAACGTACATCCATGTTGCAGCATGAAGCAGCACCTCATTCCTTATTATGACCAAATAATATTCCAATGTATGTATACACTGCATTTTGTTACTCCATTTCAGGTGATGGACAGTTAGGTTGTTGGTATTTTTGGGCTGTTAGGAATAACAGCTCCTATGACCATTCGAGTTCAATCTTTATAGGAACATGTGTTTTCACTTCTCTTGGTGGTATGCCTAGGAGTAGAACTAGAGTAGAACTGAAGTAGAAGTAGAATTGTGGGTCATATGCTTAGCTATGTTTAACATTTTGAGGAACCCCCAACTGCTTTCCAAAGCACCTGCACCACATTCCCACCAACGATGTGCGAGAGGACCAATGACTCCGCATCCTTGCCAATGCTTTTTTATTACAGCCACCTTACTGGGAGTGAAGTGATAGCTCATTGTAATTTTGATAACTGGTGTCATTTTTGAGGACTTTCTTGTAGGTGGACCTTGATGACTTGGAACCGTTTTACATATCCAGGGAACTCCATTCCCTTGTCATTTTTTAAAAAGATTTTATTTATTTATTAGAGAGAGAGAGAGAGCAAAGCTGGGTGAGGGCAGAGAGAGAAGCAGACTCCCCGCTGAGCAGGGAGCCCCATGTGGGGCTCGATCCCAGGACTCTGAGATCATGACCCTAGCCGAAGGCAGACACTTAACTGACTGAACCACTCAGGCGCCCCTCACCCGCTTGTCATTTTGAGAGCTTCACCTTCTACCCCAAGCCTAATCCGATGCAGGTTTTGATTGGCCTCCCAGGTACCCATGCAGCCATTTGGTGAGAGCCGTTGTGTCCCCCCACTTCCACTTGCTGCTCTGAAGTCCCTGTGGACCCTAAGAGTCCCCATGCTTTAGGTGCTATCAAGTGTCGTACCTTGGTAGGGAGTAAAAGAGCTGGCTGAGGAAGGGGCTTGAGGGAGAGATGCTCATTGTGACCAGCTGGGTCTTGCTCTGAACCTGTTTCTTCTTCTTCCTTCCATTTACCACAAGCCTTGGGGGGAGACTGGCAGAGGTCTGTGTGTCCTGGTTGTCTGTCAGCCCCTGCTGGGCTCCGTCTTGTCAAGAAACATCCTCTCCTGGGCCCTGCCTGGCACAGGGCTCTGTCGCCCTCAGCTTGAGCTGAGACAGTGCCTGAGACTGCAGGGTCCTGGGATCAAGCCCTGCATCGGACTCCCTGCTGGGCGGGGAGCCTGCTTACTCCCTCTCCCACTCCCCCTGCTTGTGTTCCCTCTCTCGCTGTGTCTCTCTCTGTCAAATAAATAAATAAAATCTTTTAAAAAAATAAATAAAAAAATAAAAATCCGTCTCCTGAGAAATGGAACTGAAACAGCCAGTAGTCACACACAGGTACCTGGGATTCTCTAATGCAGGTTGTGGCTGAGGGCTTACAACAGGGCCCTTGTCCCATTTGGGCTGCCTCCTCTGCTCTTTGAACCCTGAAAGAAAGTATGCTCAGTTGCTGGCAGACAGGGGCACTGAGCAGGAAAATGAGGCCTGAATTTGACAGTTCATTCAGTAAACACTGCCAGAGCACCTCCTGTGTGCCGGGTGCTGTGCAGAAGCCTGCCTCCAAGCAAACTGTGAGTGCCAGCCGAGGGTAAATGGTGTGGAAGAGAGAGGTCCTGGGGCCTGTGGGGGCCCAGAGGAGGGGCACCCAACCCAGAGTGGGGAGGGTGTGGGTGCCCAGCACAGGCTTTCTGTGAACGGTGATGGTTGAGCCAGGGCTTGAGGGACAAATAACACTCAGCTAGACTGAGAAAGGAGAAACCCTTATATGCTGAGGTATGACTGAGCTGAAGTCTTCCAAAACTCCCGCAGATCCACGTGGCTGACCCAGGTGTGTTTGCAGCAAGGTAGAAGGCCGGACTCCTGGCCCAAATGACTCCTGGCCAAAAACCCAGACTGGGCTCAGGCCCAAGTTTCAGGGCCTGAAGTCCAAGGCCAGCCACAGGGCCAGGAGCCAGCTCTTGCAATAGGGCAAAGACGGGAGTTGCTTGGCTGACCCAGAGCAGAACTTTCCGGCTCAGAGACACAAGCAAATGTACCACATCCACTGCAGTGTCTTGGGCTGGTCTCTCTGCCCCAAGGCTTGCTGAGTGCCATGCCTCAGAGCAAACCCAAACTGGTGCCTGGGGGTTCAGTGCACAAGCCTAGAGGGCCTGGGGATTTCAAGGGCCAGGAGCCAGCCTGGTCATTGTGGCACAATGTTCTTCCAGAACTCTCTGCCCCACTGCGGTCCCTGGGGGCAAAAGCAGCTCTGAACACCTGAGCACTCACAGTGTGCCAGGCATGGGCATAATGATGAGTCTGCACATTTCCCAACGACCTGTGCTGGTCTTACCTACCCTGTCAATAAGGAGACACAAGCCCAATCCCATCCAGCCAGTAGACTCAGAGTCAGGGACTTCGAACCACAGAGCCCATACTCTTTCACCTATGTCTGGTGGCCTCGACAAGCAGGTCAATTGTGTTTGTGTTTGGTGTTAGGAAAGCAGGGAGAAGGTGAAGTGGATACTAGTCTCAGGCTTGTGGCTAGACTTAGATCTTTTGCTGACCCTGAAGCACCAACCATGGGTTAGCAGAAGAGCCTCACCCCACCCCCATGCCTGTTCATCCACTCAGCTGGCTTTTCTTCTGGGCCAAGCACAGGCTTTTGTTCGCTGGGCTACCCATGATATGGCACCAAGAATGACACGGTCTTCTCTCAGGGTTCTCACGGCTCGCACCGATCCAAATTCAGTCATCTCTCATCTTCAACTCTCCCTGCTACCCCCTCTGCACATCCCTAGCTGCCCCAGGCCCATGAGGAGATAGACCTCACAGGATTTTCTTCTCTGATGCTTATGGTTCCTGATGCTTGTGGTTTGTCCCTCTCATAGACTCCCTCTTGCTTGCTGGGGCCAGAAGAGAATCAGTCCATTTCCCAGGCATGGCCACACGTCTCCAAAAAGGTGTCTGTACTCAATTAATACATTTGTTCTGGTCATTCGTTTTTCTCCCCCTTAGCTCTTCCTCTGTTTAAACTAAAGTCTAGTGGCTTTTAAACATTTTGGGCTGCAACCCATAGAAACGAATAGGTTTTACATTAAAAACCAAACACATACACACACAAGTGAAACAAAAATTTAATGAAACAATATTTATCTTTACTATATGTGATATACTCTATTCTATTCTGTTTCATTTAAAAATGCTATCAAGACCTATTAAATTGATTTCATGTCCCATTAATGGGTTGTGACCTACAGTTTGAAGAACATTGAACCCAGATATTTTGACATTCAGAGCCTCCAGTTAGGGATATTACAGCACAAATTTGTCAAGAAAGAAAAGTCAACTCTAAGATTTTGAAATACATGCTACAGACAGAAGTTCAAAAAGAAAAGAGTTTTGAATCTCAAAAGCCTAGATTTCTGGGGCACCTGGGTGGCTCAGTCGGTTAAGCATCTGCCTTCAGCTCAGGTCATGATCCTGGGGTCCTGGGATCAAGTCCTACATCAGGCTCTCTGCTCAGCAAGGAGTCTGCTTCTCCCTCTCCCCACCCGCCCTCCCTGCTTGTGCTCTCTCTCGCTATCTCTCTCTCTCAAATAAATAAATAAAATCTTTAGGAAAAAAAAAAAGCCTGGATTTCCTCTTCTAGGCAGGATGTAGTAGGTTGTGGCAGGCCAATGGTCCTACCGCAACAAGATGAGATGAGTCTCTCCAGCTGTCCCCTCACTCATCTCCCTGGACATTTGCTAATTTGGGGCATTGCCTAACAATCAAGCTTTGCCCAAAAGAAAGATCTCTAATGGAGGAAAGGAAATCAGTAAAGCTATGAGTGGCTACATGGTACTAGAATGAAAAATGGGAACATGGAGGCTTTAAAAACACAACCCCATTTTCTCCACAGGACATTTGCTGAGTTCTGGGTCTGAGTGCATCCAAAAAGCAGAGTGAAATCTTCCACAGTCTTACAGCACTTAGAAAACAAAGTCTCTCTAA